TTGTCTGGAGATCGCATATGAGTTAAAATACCCAGTAAAAGGGTGGATCAGAAATAAGACCTTACAACCAAAATTTTACTAAACATTTAGTCTTAGACGAGCTCAAGTGATTTTATTTAGTACCAAATTGTTAACAAGATGGCTAATTAGGACCTCACATTAACGCTAAATGACCTAATTTTCCCCTTATCACGTCTGAAAGTTAAACAAGTGTCAGGTGAATGGTAATTACCAGACAAATGGCAAGTCAACAAACTATTGGTTAAAAAGTCATTGGTAAATACAGAATAGTGTACATAGAGTTGAAAATAAACAGACCAACTTAAAACTGGAGCCATTTTTTAACACACATTATAAAAATACTGAAACAGGTAGAGAATAAGGTGGTTTTTCACTGAATGAAACATGAAAAACATCAATTGTTAGTTGTCTTAAATCAAATGATGAATACCACTTCATAATAATGCTTAGTTAAATTAGGTAGAATTTAAGGTGGGTACCCACTGTCAGAGGAAGGAGATTGGCACAAAATGTGTTATCACTTTAACACGGAACTGTAGATGGGGTTCCACTACTGATAGTAATAATCAGAGTATAATTCTGAAAAGTCTGTATATAGGTTATGTAAGTTATCAATTAATAGATGCTGACATGTTTATAGTGGGCATTGATGTTGATGGTAAAGTTTTTACTACCACTGGGCGGCCATTACAGCCAGAACTGAAATGTAATGGTAACTGGACTATTGGGTTTATGAAGACAGGGTTTTGGAAGGTGAATGTAAACCCAAACTTCCAAAATCAACTGTCAAGTTTTCTTAAACTTAACAGCAAATAATCAGAACACAGGGCTCCATTTTTTTCTTTTTGAAATTATTGAGCTCTCTTGTCTTATCCTTTCACTCCCATTTGAATATTTATCAGTGAAGAAGGGTAAGTGGTTATAACCTAACTATGTGTACTATATAATACTGTATTGTCTAGATATAGACCACTAGATAAATACATCTACACTTTAAACAGGTGTTTTTACAGGTAATTTGATAAACCTTCACTCTGGCTATTGGTTAAAAAGGGGAAAAGACTCTCGAAAGCAATAGTAATAGCATCAGAAAAAAACTTGCAGTGGTGATCTCGGAAAGTTTCTCAGCATGGACTTGATAAATTGGGGAAGCTTTA